TCTCCACATTATATAATAAATGTAGCTCACTCTCAGAAATCCCATTCACTGGTTATCTATGGCACTGTCTGGGTCAGGTCTTTTTTAAAATTTTATTACTTAGAGAACTAATTTCAGTGGATTTTTACATTATTAATACATGTACAGCTGTACCAACAAGGATGTCGTAACTTATTATATGAAAGCATGTAAAAATAACAATATTTTAAATAAATACGAGGCAAAAGAAACGACGGCCAATGCATATCTAATTGCTTTCTCGGGAACTAACGTTCTTTTTAATATGCTCAGTTTTTATAAATTACTTATTTTGATACAATTACTGTTAAATCTTAATAAAGTAAAACAAAACAAGTAATCGGTGAAATTCTGATGGAAGCAAAACATGCGTGGTCGTTTCGTAAAGCAAGGATTAGGCAACATGTGTGATCGTGCATGCCCTGTCATAGTGTCACGCATTTTCCATCAGTTTTTATTTACGCAAAATATTTTCCAAAGAGCTGATAAATCCAGTAAAGATGAACCGTGAAAGTCTCACAATATCAGGCAAGAATCAAGCTTCATGTACTATTGTTTCATGTCCTGTCAATAAGTCATCCACTCAACAGATCTGATCCAATGACCTTCGTTGACCTTTTTAAATAACATTAAAAGAACAAAGAAAAGATCAGAGCCCCCGAAATGTTGCCGATATCTTAAAATAAAAACGAGGCAAAGTAAACCACTGCAAATGCATATCTGTGGTGGCTTTCTCGGGAACTAATGTTTTTTTTAATATGTACAGTTTTAATAAATTATTTATTTTGATACAATTACTGTTTAAAGTAAAACAAAACTAGTAATCAGTGAAATTCTGATTGAAGCAAAAAATGCTTGGTCGTTTCGTAAATCAAGGATTAGGCAAGATGTGATATCGTGCATGCCCTGTCATAGTGTCACGCATTTTCTATCAGTTTTTATTTACACAAATATTTTCCAGTAAAGATGAACCGTGGAAGTCTCACAATATCAGGCAAGAATCAAGCTTCATGTACTATTGTTTCATGTCCTGTCAATAAGTCATCCACTCAACAGATCTGATCCAATGACCTTCGTCGACCTTTTTAAATAACATTAAAAGAAACACTGACGACAAGAGCTCCCGAAGTGTTGCCGTTGGGTAGCCATTGCATATCCCAGCACTTGCTTCTCTACATAGTTATAAAGAGTAGCTCTACTTCACAAACCCCATTATTTCATGGATATATGACATTGCACAGGTCACGCACACACACATGCACACATGCATGCATGCACGCACACACACACGCACACACACACGCACACACACAAGTATCTTGAAAATAAACTTCATAATAACTGCATAAGTGATGTGCTTCACGCATGGCTATCTAAAAGTATCGATTGAAACAGAAAAACTTGTCGGTGAAAATCTATACAGGTAGTGCACGCGCGGCCGTTTCCTATAGCAAGCATCAGATTTCACCTGTGATCGTGCATGGCCGGTTATTATGTCACGCATTTAATGAAGATGCCCAGTAAAGATGAACGAATAAGACAAATAATAATTTTATATCTTATTGTGCATAATATTTTCGGCCAAAATTATGTAAATGGAACCTAATTTCCTTAATAACTACTATTTCCCTATAATAAAACGAAGTGAAATTCAATAGCTTACTTTTGTCTGAATTTATAATGCGTTACAGGCTTGGGAATGATGTGATCCGGACCAGGGAGGGGGGACAATGTCTTTTTTCAAAACTTGCTACTAAAAGTACTAAATTTCAGATGATTTTGCCCATTTTTGTTTTAAAAATTGTAACATTTCGGCCCTTCTGTGTTTGGAATCCAATGTTCTATTGGTCCTTCCCACAATGAGCGGTATGCTGTGTCGATACAGCTCGACCAACATTGATATTTCCACTGTTTGCGTCAGAGAATGAAATTAACATTTTAAAAAATAGATTCGATAACAAAACACCGCCATTGCATATTTGGTTGCTTTCAAAGAAACTGGCGTTTGAGATATGATTCAAAACTCAGCTTAAGGTTTAATGATTATTTTGACACATTGCTCTTCTATAGGTGCAATTGATTAAAACAGAAAAAAAATATTAGTGAAATTCTAATTAAATCAATATGTGCGTGGCCGTTTCGTATAGCAAGCATCAGGTAACACGTGTGATCGTGCATGCCCTGTCATTATGTCACGCATTTTATGAATATATCCAGTCGAAATGAACCATGGAAGTCTCACTATATCAGGTAGGGATCAAACTTCATTAGTTATTGTTTCACGTCCTGTCAATAAGTCATCAACTCAATAGATCTGATTCAATGACCTTCGTCGACCTCTTCACAAGCATGAAGACAAATAGTGAAGATCAGAGATAAAAAAAAACAACTTAAAACAAAGCTCAATCTGGTTATGGTCCCCATCGCGTATCATAGCAATTCCCCCACATTATCTAGTTAATATAGCTTACAGTCAAATCCCTAGGTATCTATGACACTGGACCCTAGCTCTGCGTACGTCAGTTGTAAACATTTTCCTTTTGAAGCTTTTACGTTGCTGCGACGTAGAACAAAAAATAAACGTATCACTATGATGAGTTCATTTAAGGTTGTTTTCTTTAGCAATGGTATTCATGATATTGATGTAGCAATGTTGTTTTATCTGAAGGATTTACATGTAATTATATAATAGATGAGGAAGAGAATAGTCACATCTCTTTCAGCGGACAGATTGCTTTAAAATGCGTTGGTTAATTTTGAAGTGAAACTTTTTTCTCATCTAGCACATTTGGTAGCATTGTAACTCAGCAGCAGTAAAACACAACTACCCCAGTGTGCTATGTGTGTCGGGCTCTCTACTGCGGTTAGACTGGAGGTGAAGAGGCCAAATGGAAGATGGCATGGGTGTGCCCTTAACGGATGAAGCCTGTAAATTAAACTTAGTAGGGAAACTGAAGCATTGTCAACTTTAGGTAGATCTAATTTTTTTTCTTATCTAAGTTCCATTACACTTACGTCATTTTCGGAATTTTCGCTGTGATGTTTACTTTTATTTGTGTGCATTTTTTTCTTGCTTCGCGTCTGTTGTTTCAAAAACCTCACCAAATTGTTATTGCTATAGTGACTGAACAAATAATAATGTTGAATGGGCTTATGATACATAAATTACGCATGGATGGATTGGAAAAAATGAAAAATGAAGTTACCAGAAACCTTCTCCCTTGCATATAACACATCAAAGTAAAATTAATAAATAACTCACCACTGGAATTGCAAATGCGTTTATTACTCATGAAAGCAGATCCAACATTTTGATAAAACTGTCCTGTTTCCTCTTTAATTATGTGCAATTTTCTAACTTTCTTTATGTGAGTCCAAATCTCTGTAAATACATGATCCGTTTGGTATGTCCGAATAAGAAACATTTTGAATATTGGATAATGGCAATTCTTCAATTGATTAATTACTATTGTTTCAAGCCTCTTCGTATTGCTTTCCCAGCATATCAGTCCTGGAATGAGATATTAAGCCACCAGTTTAATAACCTGTCACAAAAGTCAGGCAACATGGTGGAGTGTGTCCTTGCCCATTCACAAAGTGATTTGAAATGTAATAAAACATGTTTATAAACGCGCGCGCGTGTGTGTTTGATGATCATAATAATAACATAGTTAATAATGAATAATAACAACTTATTTATTAATAAACCACAGTGCAAGTACGTTTCAGTGCTACACGAAAAAAATTAACCCAAAAATACTATTTCATATTTATTTAAATATGAATAAGACTAAACAAATAAAATAAATAGAATAAAAATTATGTGCGTCCGACTCTCGAGACATCACCTACAGCAACATTCCAGATGGTTTACTATTAAGTGTCATAACATTTATCTTCACAAGCACCACTGTCACACTGAGTATGAAACCTTACACCAATTCAAGAACTGAAAAAAAATTAAGCTACTATCAGCAAGGATAAAAAATCAATGGTCGAACTGTTCTTACCTTCCAGCAGAGTGAGCACCTTTCCCGACAGACATCACAGACCGTAGTGATTTGCAAAATATATAACCCAAAGAAAGCGGTCACTTGCTTTTCTGTAAACGATCAAATGAATAGAGAAAATTTAATTTTGTTTCCTTTTAAGTCTTAACGTTGTAAGCATGTTAGAATCTAATATATCTAAAGAATTTCATTTAAAAGAATAGATGCATTTAGTATGCAATTAAAAATTTTGAACTAAATAAAGATGATATAACTAATGAGTAACAAGAGATTGGTGTGCAGGCTCTTGTAGTCTAGGAGGAGAAGCGGTAACGGTGACATGGCGGCGAATACGGCGGACGAGACTGGTCGGGACTAAAACCGCCTACGCTAGTGGTACAATAAGATCTTAGGCAATGATAGTGACAGAAGAAATACCTGGGGAGAAGTAATCATAGAGCCTAACAGCTAGTTGTTTGGATTCAGCTACCAGTGTGACACGCTGCACATTAAATGTAATGCAGGTTTTTGTAGCGCTGATCTGGAAGACATAATTAAAAAATAATATATTATTAAAGGCCCACAGCAAGCGTTAGATCTTTAAATAAGATAGCATTGCCAAAATAATATTTCTAATAAGTTTGACCTAACCTTTATTTACCAGTTTAGACTGCACTTCATACCTAAAAAGCTCTCAAAATCACGATCTAAATTTAAAAACCGTTTTTTTAAAGATCTTAAAGTGATGACTAAAAATGCAAAAAAACAGGAGGCTAATTTCCCGTTACCAATCCCTACTACGGTGTCATGTGTATCAAGAAATAATTTACAGGTTTATTCTTGGGGAGTCATTATTGTCCTGATGGAATTCGTACCTCATCAAAATAAAGCACTATCTTCCTGTACGCTTTCTCCGTCTTCCTCAGTGATGAAAGATATGAAATGCTCTCCAGATCAGCCTCAAATCCACTAGGTATTCCGATCTCTAGCACCGCCATGCCGCTTGCTGGGCTGTTCTCCAACCACCTGAATAAAAATATACACTGAATACGTTAGGTGAGTTTAAAACACAATCGTCAGTGGTTTTTGATAAGCTGAGCAGCAGCGTCATTGCTAGTCGGGTTAATTTCAATTTCATTGGGCTTGTTTCACAAAAAGCAGAAGGATCTTTGGCTAAGCTATACAGACTGCTTAAATCATAGCCTGCTGTGCACAGTCAACTTTTTCGTCTAAGGGCTTTTTACACTTATTGGTCCGCAAAAAGTGCACTTATAAATGGACTGAGCTGTTCGTTACAACAGTCACAAAGTGCATGTACGTTCTTAACAAAGCATGGAGCAACACTGGAATGAATTAAAAATAAAAGAAATCCCACTTGGTATCTTAACACAGTTTGCTATAGCTATTTTCCCTCATTTGTCCTCCCAATATCATAAAATTAATAAAATGCTGTTGCACACGCTTAATGAACAATATAGCCCTTCTGTGGGTTTCTCTTCTAGACAATATGGGTATTTTAATTATCGTGTATCATGGACACAGGATTGTTTTTTTCCTTTTCTGTGGGTTGCGTACTTTGAGCAGATCTGGACCGTCACCAAGTTCCCCAATTCATGTTCCACCTGAGACGCTTCGACAGCAAACGATGGTTCCTGCTTAACTGTTTTTGTGCTGTATGACACGGACACCTACAAGATAAACTGGGGTATCGTTGGATATTTTATGATGAAAAAGAATGTATTATGAACTACTCATTTACAAAAATACTGCCTATATTATTTTCTAATGTATTGTCTTGTTGTCTTATTGGTATTCAAATATCCCGTCCGGGTGTTTTACCTGAAAAAGCGCACTTCCACTGCCAGTTGCAGAAACTGTCACTTGCTTGGTAGCATCTGGGAGCTTTAAAAGTAAAACTGGTGCGGATTAAAAACTATGATACACACACTCTGTGTGTGTGTGTGTGTGTGTGTGTGTGTTTGAGAGAGAGAGAGAGAGAGATCAATGCGCAATAGTAAAACTACCAAAGGCATCATGTTTGTATCTGAAATATAACTTTAAAAAATTCATAATATATCTATTTAAATGTTATGTAAAAGCAAAAAAGACTAAAGGGACTATAAAAATGAAACCAGACATAAAGACCTTTGTTAAATAATGCTATTCACACCTGTAGGACGATGGTATTATCCCCCCTAAGGGTCACTTGATTGGAACTTCCATCGGCGTCAATGGTGACCTGCATGTCCGGCCTAGAGCCCGTGTAGATATCTANATATTCAAGAACTGAGAAAAAATAAAGTTACTATCAGCAAGGATAAAAATCAATGGTCGAGTTGTTCTTACCTTCCGGCAGAGTGAGCACCTTTCCCGACAGACATCACAGACCGTAGTGATTTGCAAAATATATAACCCAAAGAAAGCGGTCACTTGCTTTTCTATAAACGATCAAATGAATAGAGAAAATTTAATTTTGTTTCCTTTTAAGTCTTAACGTTGTAAGCATGTTAGAATCTAATGTATCTAAGGCTCTATTCCCATAGATTTTAGATCGATCTATCCCCGCGGGGAGTCTCACTAGATTACTTTCAGATAATCCGACTTAAATGTCCGTCCCGCCTACTACAAGCTGTAAGGGGGTAATTAACTTTCGTGTCCGCCCGGCTGACAGCTACATTGTATTTAGCGTAAACCCCCAGGGAGTTAGGTCGATCTCAAGTAGGTCGATCTAATCTATGGAAATGGGGTGTAAAGAATTTCATTTAAAAGAATAGATGTGAGTATACATTTAGTATGCAATTAAAAATTTTGAACTAAATAAAGATGATATAACTAATGAGTAACAAGAGATTGGTGTGCAGGCTCTTGTAGTCTAGGAGGAGAAGCGGTAACGGTGACATGGGGGCGGGTACGGCGGACGAGACTGGTCGGGACTAAAACCGCCTACGCTGGTGGTACAATAAGATCTTAGGCAATGATAGTGACAGAAGAAATACCTGGGGAGAAGTAATCATAGAGCCTAACAGCTAGTTGTTTGGATTCAGCTACCAGTGTGACACGCTGCACATTAAATGTAATGCAGGTTTTTGTAGCGCTGATCTGGAAGACATAATTGAAAAGTAATATATTATTAAAGGCCCACAGCAAGCGTTAGATCTTTAAATAAGATAGCATTGCAAAAATAATATTTCTAATAAGTTTGACTTAACCTTTATTTACCAGTTAAGACTGCACTTCATACCTAAAAAGCTCTCAAAATCACGATCTAAATTTATACACCGTTTTTTTTTAAGATCTTAAAGTGATGACTAAAAATGCCAAAAACAGGAGGCTAATTTCTCTCTACCAATCCTTACTACGGTGTCATGTGTATCAAGAAATAATTTACAGGTTTATTCTTGGGGAGTCATTATTGTCCTGATGGAATTCGTACCTCATCAAAATAAAGCACTATCTTCCTGTACGCTTTCTCCGTCTTCCTCAGTGGCGAAAGATATGAAATGCTCTCCAGATCAGCCTCAAATCCACTAGGTATTCCGATCTCTAGCACCGCCATGCCGCTTGCTGGGCTGTTCTCCAACCACCTGAATAAAAATATACACTGAATACGTTAAGTGAGTTTAAAACACAATCGTCAGTGGTTTTTGATAAGCTGAGCAACAGCGTCATTGCTAGTCGGGTTAATTTCAATCTCATTGGGCTTGTTTCACAAAAAGCAGAGGGATCTTTGGCTAAGCTATACATACTGCTTAAATCAAAGCCTGCTTACAACAGTCACAAAGTACGTTCTTAACAAAGCATGGAACAACACTGAAATGAATTAAAAATAAAAGTAATCCCACTTGGTATCTTAACACAGTTTGCATAGCTATTTTCCCTCATTTGTCCTCCCAATATTATAAAATCAATAAAATGCTGTTGCACACGCTTAATGAACAATATAGCCCTTCTGTGGGTTTCTCTTCTAGACACTATGGGTATTTTAATTATCGTGCATCATGGACACAGGATTGTTTTTTTTCCTTTTCTGTGGGTTGCGTACTTTGAGCAGATCTGGACCGTCACCAAGTTCCCCAATTCATGCTCCACCTGAGACGCTTCGACAGCAAACGATGGGTCCTGCTCCACTGTTTTTGTGCTGTATGACACGGACACCTACAAGATAAACTGGGGTATCGTTGGATATTTTATGATGAAAAAGAATGTATTATGAACTACTCATTTACAAAAATACTGCCTATATTATTTTCTAATGTATTGTCTTGTTGTCATATTTGTATTCATATATCCCGCCCGGGTGTCTTACCTGGAAAAGCGCACTTCCACTGCCAGTTGCCGAAACTGTCACTTGCTTGGAAGCATCTGGGAGCTTTAAAAGTAAAACTGGTGCGGATTAAAAACTATGATACACACACTCAGTGTGTGTGTGTGTGTGTGTGTGTTTGAGAGAGAGAGAGAGAGAGAGAGAGAGAGAGAGAGAGAGAGAGATCAATGCGCAATAGTAAAACTACCAAAGACATCATGTTTGTATCTGAAATATAACTTTAAAAAATTCATAATATATCTATTTAAATGTTATGTAAAAGCAAAAAAGACTTAGGGGACTATGAAAATGAAACCAGACATAAAGACCTTTGTTAAATAATGCTATTCACACCTGTAGGACGATGGTATTATCCCCCCTAAGGGTCACTTGATTGGAACTTCCCTCGGCGTCAATGGTGACCTGCATGTCCGGCCTAGAGCCCGTGTAGATATCTACAGTAAACACAGACAGCGCCTGTAGAGCCACCACCGTGGCCTGCAAGACAATAAGAAACAGTAAATTAGATGAAATATAAAAAAATGGATATCTAAATATTGTTACGGAAAGCCCTCATCCCGAACTGCACAACTAGTCATGACTATGGACCGATACTCGGATGTCCCACACTGGAACAACTGTTGATTTATTATACTTGAAGATGGATCCCCATGCGCCTGCCGTTGGACAATAAAAATACCTACCTTTACTGAGAAGAGACCCCTGTATGATCAAAGGTAAAAAATCGGTTAAATTGTCTTTGTCAAAGCGAGCTGTCCGCGTATTTTCAGTTGGATAAATTAGGTAACTTACGTACCGCAGTTGAAGAGAACCCTCCGCAGGTATTACGCTGGGAAATCAGCCATTTCATCAGAGGAATTCCTCCTTGCATGTCCGACCTCTCAGCGTACGTAAGGAGAGCGTAAGAAATAATCTCCACATTGATAGCACTGGCCTGCATCTCATATGTGTTGCGATACCCACCCTCTGGCTCGGAAGCACCTTGTGAAGTACAAACGTAGCATACTGTAACAAATCATTAATCATAATGTGTAGTTATATTCCCTGACGAAGACTGACTGATTCAGGGATTAATATTATGAATGCTTGAACAGATTTACTTGCTTAATTGCGTTATAAGAGGGCATTTCCAGAGATTTAGATCGATCTTACTAGATCGACCTAACTCCCTAGGTGTTCACGCTAAATTGCAGTCAGCCGACCGCGCACGGAAGTTAATTACCCCCTTACAGGCGGGACGGACATTTAAGCCCGATTATCTAACAGTAATCTAGTGATCGAGACTCCCCACGGGGATAGATCGATCTAAAATCTATGGGAATGCGCCCTAAGTCGGTCATGTGCTACCCATTTGTTCAGCTGTACATATGAAGTATTTACTCTCACATTAAAATAGACTCAATGGCTAGGTCTTGGTATAGCACTGAATAAACCATTTGCACCATTCCTCAGGAGCAATTCTATCCTTGTCAAATGCCTTTCCAGCAGAGGCCACCGGTCATAAATAAGCCTGTCGGTTACACTCCTGGTGTTATGGTTCATGGGCAGAGAGATTTTCCACAGCAGATTGATACCAAGCTGGATTATGGTGTTCCAAGAGTGGATTCGATGCAAGTTAAGCCTGATGTTTTATCTGATCAGTATGAAGGTGTCACATCGTGGTTGGATTATCAGGTTCATTTTGATATGGTTGCAAGATTGAATGGATGGAACAATTCCCAGAAGGCGGTGTTTCTTGCAGCGCAATTACGTGGTTCTTTTTGATCTACCAGCCTCATCAAGACAGAATTACACTTTTTAGTAGCTGCCCTCAGTTAGTGCTTTCATCCAGGAAAAAAGGCAGAACTTCATAGGCAGAATTACGCGAGCATGTACGCCAAGAGAGAGTCTACCAGAACTAGCACAGCCAATACAAAAGGCTTTCTTACAGATCATATGGAAACATGGGTCAGGATGTTGTTGATACCTGTATGATGGCTCGTAATCAATTCATTGAGACATTGCATGACAGTAGCATTTGCATGAAGATCCGTGTAATGTAACCAAAGACTTTGGATAATGCTGTAAACTATGCCCTAGAAATTGAGGTAATACAGTCAACTGATTCACACGACAGGGGGTCAAGATATCCCCAAAGTCTTGATGAACATCCAGATAAGTATTAGGACATTTGTGGGCAATTAGTTGATCTCCAATCAACCATCTTCCAAATAAAAAAATGAAATGGCACAGAAGAAAAGGTCCAAGTGCTATGGTTGTAGGAAAAAAAGGCATCTCATACGTGATTGTCCAAATTCAAAACCCAAGCATGCGGGAAATGCTAGTAACCGGATTAGTGGGTGGTTTTTTGGATGCTGAGCAGAAATCCAGACCCAATCATTATGAATCTCACAGGGCAAAGTTCCGGCTCCATCCACGATGTTCCAGTTACTTTTTTGTGGATTCTACCTCTAATGTTACATTCTCAATTCCAAGCTGTTTGATTAAATACTGGAAGCTAAGAAACCTGAGTTTAGAGTTGATGGTAAAAACCTTTACCAAGCAGATGGCACCAAGTTGACTTTACATGAGAGAGAAGTTTTTCCAGTCAGTTTAAAGAATCAAAGTATCCTTACACGAATGGCTGTCGCTGATATTTCAGTTGATGCGATACTGGAGATAGATTTCTTTCGTGCAAATGATGCTGTGTTATATGTTTCAATGGGTACTTTGACAACGAATGGTAAAGATACTGTAGCTAGGGAAGAGGAAGATGAGTTATGCTGTTGCAGAGCCTCAGTTGCAAAAACGGTCACCATTCCCCTCGCGGACATGAAGTGATCATTTCTGCTACACTTTTATCAAAAAGAAAGTCTCCTTTATGGGGTATGGTGCAGCCCTTGGCACAATTTCAAAGTAAGCATGATGTGTTGCTGGGGGAATCTTTAGTGACTCCCAATAATGAGAAATACCTTTGAGAATAATGGATGTCGAGTCTGAACCACATGTCATCTATAAAAGGACACATGCTGCAGTTTTCAAGCAATTCCAGATTCAGTCTGTTGAAAACGTAGCTCAGTGTTTTAATGCTTCTAATGATGTTACATTTTCCCCCTTGACGTATACTTAGAGAGTGTGGAGCATCTGGATGAGGGACAGTGTTAACAAGTAGCAGGTTTGCTTTCCAGATACCAAGATGTATTTTCATTTCAATAAGTGGAGTTGAAATAGGTCCTAGGAAAGTGGAAACCGTGTTGTCTTGGCCAGTTCCAAAAGATGTGCATGAACTTAGAAGTTTTATAGGATTGTGTTCCTACTACCGAAGGTCCATTGGAAATTTTTACGAGGCAGTAAGCTGTTTGAATAAATTGACTGAAAAGGTACAAGCATTTTGTTGGGCATCTTCCTGTGAAGATGCGTTCTTTCAGTTAAAACGGTTGCTGACCTATACGCCTGTGTGTTGGACACAGATGCCAGCAATACCTGCATTGGAGCTGCTCTCTTAAATTCAGGATGGAGAAGAAAGAGTTACCGCATATTCTAGTAGAACTCTTAGCAAGTCAGAAAGAAAATATTGTGTTACTAGCAAAGAACTCTTATCTGTTGTGACATTCACCAAGTTGTTTCGTCACTATTTATACGGTCGGCACTTTTTGTTGAGAACAGGAGGACACTTTGGAGCATACTGTACAGTCTTGGCTCTTAAGGAGGGATGTCACTGGTCAGGCATGGACACACAAATCATTCGTTGGGTACGGCAATGTGATGCATGTGGTGCTGCAAGGAATCCTACAAAGAAGCAGTGCAGTAATGGAGAGGATTGGGATAGGCATTAAAGGCCCCTTTCATGTAACAAATGTAATCAATCGATCTGTTATGGTGGTGAGTGATTATTTCAGTAAGTGGACAGCTGTATTTGCAATTCTGAACCAGGAATCTGAGTCTGTGGCAAAGAAGTTGGTTCCGGAATTGAGACACAAAGAAGTATCAGTGCAGGCGGGGAAAGCTGCTCTCTAGCTGAAGTTCTTTCCCCATGTCAAGAAGACCTCGACGTGACAGATTGCCTCTCGAAAGTTTAATGGCTATTTTTTTATTTAACTTTATAAAGTTCGTAAAAACTTAGTGTTCATGTTTAACTTTAAAATTTGCCCAAAACATTGATGAACAGCAGTAATACGGACAGTAATACATTGAAAGCGAAAAAAAAACAGAAAGACTCTCTTATTAAAATGGGGAAAAACGTAACAAATTATTAATTATGTGTAGTTACGTTACCTGAAGAAGACTGACTGGTTCATCGATTAATATTATGAAGGCATGGATAGATTTACTTTAATGCGTTATTAGTCGGGCATGTGCTACCCATTTGAATAGCCATCTGTACAGCTGTACGTGTGCAGTATTTACCCTCACATTGTATTTAATTCAATGGCTTGGTCTGGCTATAGCACTAAATAAACCATTTGTATTATTGGTTGGTTTAGGTGTCGTTTACACGTTTCAATATCTTACGCTGTCGAAAATTGTCTTTGCACGGTCCTCGGATGCTGATAGGTAAATCAGAAACCCTCAAAACTCATGAATTCAAAGCGGAAAATTTCATTTCATGCTGATTTTGACTTGATGATTGTATTTTGACAGTTATAAAAAATAATAAGGCACACTTACCTCTGAGTAAATTCGGTATCAGAGTTTTGAGACGATCAAAAGCCACAGCTGCTTCGTAACTTATGGCTTTTTGCAGAGCATAAGATGAAATAGCCAAACTGTAAGGGTTGGATACGGACGCAGTACGGTTCTCCAAGTAATGGACGGCATTCTCTATGGCGTTCCGTATATTATGTTTGGTAGACTGAAATGGCGAGAAACGCATTAGTTGGTAAAATGTTTTTTTTTCGGTTAAAGTTGCCCATAGATCAAGTTCGTTCCTATAGATTAAGTTTGTTTAAGTTTCGTATCATTCCATAATTTTTTTCTGTCTAAAAAACTGGTGTCTTCCTAATGTTAATATCTTGTGAATATTCCCTACAATATTTTTCCATTTCAGTTAAGTCTGCATTTTTATTTGAAAGAATATTACTAGTGGAAATCTTTACAAAACATGTAGAAAATATGTAAATTACCAAGATTTATCAGATAATATCCAGAAGATAAAACATTACATTTGATATACTAAAAGAATATGTTTTTCAATACATGATATAGTACTTACCAAATCTTTATGTTCCAGTAAAGTAACAGCCACATAGGCAGTCAGGGATACATCTGACGCTGGACCAGCCTGCAACAACAGCGTACAGGTATGGCATATAACTTGAATATAACTTGGACAATACGTGCTCAAAAACATCACCAGAATTTTAAAAGATATATTCACCTTATTAAAATATTGATTTAAAAGAAAATATCAAATTGAAATTATGGAATAAGAACGAAAAAAAAACTTAAAATATTCAAAAACCCATTCGATGTTATTGGTCTATTCTATGTTTATTTCAAAGAGGGCAACGGATTTGAGATAGTGAACCATGGTCAATTAATCTGTGGCAAAATACACTTTAGCGCCCCTTTTGCACCAAGTCTACAAAGGCCCAAAACAATTAATTCAAAAACCGTTGTCCATCTTGACTTTTACATGAAATGGATTCTTTACTTCTGTTTATTTTAATATTTGCAGAATTGACTACCTGCATTGCCTTATGGACCAAACTCCCAGGCTCAGGAAAAGAGCCATCTGCGTTCTGTCGGCCAATTATCCAGTTGATGGCCTTAGTGATAACCTCATCATCGATCTCGATATGGTCACCTGCCTGTAACAAGGACTTTGTTACGAATGCAGTAGCCCTGAAATGGTCATGTTAAAAATCCTCTCACTACTTTTATCACATTAAAGCATGAGGAAAACTTACAAAATCTTGTTACATATCATTATAAGTTTCACTTTTACCAATTATCCCCATCCGTACTCTTGTTGTTACAAAGCTACTGCTGATGTCGACTATTCACTGCAAAATACTGTCCAAACCACGGTTTTGCAAGATATGTAAACATGTACACATGCAGGTGCAAACAAGCTTAGATACACAGGCAACCATAATTACAACAGAACGTGAATGATGAATAATACTGTATTATGCAGGGGAAGGGGCATACCTGTTGTGGGACATAGCGGACACGTGTACCGCCCACCCACTATGACTTAGAACGTACCCATTGTTCGTCCGTTCCCTCACCTCCACCACTTAAAATAATGTGACAATCGAGACGTGACATAATCAAACAAACATTTTCTCCATGTGCCCTGCATATTACATTTATAAAAAAAACTACCACGCTCTACTTTATATGGACATTTTCGAGTGAAGCGAGGCAAATTTTACTAACTTTGTGCTTGCTCTCTGGCCCCCTTTAGTAATTCCATGGGTCTAAGTTTGATAAAACGACACGACCACGGAGAAACACACAAATGACTTACCACATGCTTCCGGAAGGGTCACTTTTTCCAAATGAACTGAACGAGCCGTCCGCGTGCTGGTAGACAAGTACATTTTGGTATCCTGTAGAAAAATTCAATAAAGTTTGTTATTTTGGGTTTCCCAGTTTCGTTTAACCATAGAAGTAGAGAACCCAACAATACTCTCTGTATAACGAGTTACCCTGGTTACATTGAATTTTAGTGTTGGTTAATATAATGTATACCTCAGTAGACCCGTAAGCACTCTAATTTACATGTACAGCCGGCTCAGCAGTGTTTAACTTTACTTAAATTTCACAGAAAGAATTGTGTGCTTTACACATAACTTTTCATATATAAGTTCTGTTTCTGTCAAATGATATGTTGAGAAGTGTCGAGTGCTGATTTCTCTCTGCATGTGTATTGTAGTACAAACTGGAGAGCCGATCATTTCAACATGTCTGTTTTTAAACGAGCAATATTATAAGTAACAACAAACACAAAAAAGGCACTAATTTAAGTGAGAGCATATGAAATCATTGCCGTTTAACTTCATTTCTTTCAATCACAACAATGATATAATTCAAGTAAAGCCAGACAGCATTTTTTTAATTCACCATTTGTTAAAGACAAGCCATTTGAAATATATGTACTCTGATATTTGAAAACCATCAGCTTTTTTAGTAAATGCGAAAGGGGATTTATCTTCTGACAAGTGACTTCTAAATTTATCAGTTGGGCAAAGGTTTTAATTTACTTATGAAACACAAACAACTATAACGCATAGGCTTGGTTTTGGGTGCAGTACCTTTTTTTAAGTGGTCAATGACTTTATCCCTGACCTCTCTGTCGAACTGGTCCGTTTCAGCAAGATAGTTTAATAAGAAAACTGGAGTAGCAATGTGCATCAAGTTTTGTTCTGCATTACCAAGCGGTATATTCAACAAGCCGTCGATGTTGTTTATAGAGGGTCCCATTACATCATCTGAAAAAATATCAATGCAAACATAAGAGCAGAAATATTGATCGCATGGCCGGTAGGCGAATTTTCTTAATTGTTTTGTTTAGCAAGAGTTGCATGTAAATTTTAGGTCCTATTTTCTACTCAAAATGCACGTTACTTTTATCACCCATTGATAATTATAATCATAAGGAATAACACATCCCCGCTTTATATTTTCATCCCAGCAAATTCAAATATTTTCCAGAACGCCACAAAAATAACACTTTACATTCTATGCAAATTGCATCCTTTTTGTCTTTTAAATTACACACCTGTGACAGTAGCAGTGATGTAGGAGGAACCCTGCACGGAGGTGGACGGTAAATCAATTTGGAACGTTTTACTATATGTTGACGTGCTAGTCAGGTCGATCACCTCAGCTTGAGTGTATTCTTGGCGGACGCCCTCGGCCTTGTTTAAACAAAATACAAAAGCTAATGAGGGGACATCAGAAAGAAGGTGTGAAAATACAAGAAAAGCTTAAGGTGCAACAAAGCTGTCGACTGAAGTCAAAATTGATGAGACAATATATGTTCCGCTTACCAATGTTTTGTGCATTTCATCAATATTTTGTTATAAAAGCAATGTGTAGATGACATAAGTGATAAAGAAGGTATATAATAATGAAATGCACTGTGCATTGTACAGCTCTGAATCATTGGCCATCGATATCATCAAAGACCGTACCCAACTATACCTCGACAAGCAACTGCTTCTTCAAGCCATCAATACCAGCCTCCGAGTTCGCTTTTATAATGATGTCAAATTTGCCCAGAGCAGTTGGAATAATAGGAAAAAACACGAAGACACCCTTTCCGTCTTTCACCTATAATTATATAAATATATTTCCCATTTATGAAGCAGTACATTTCAAGTTCACCTCGTAAATGTAAGTAAAAAAATGATACACACTTTAATAAAAAAAGGACGTACCGAATTCTCCTAATTTATATGTTTTTGGAGACCTTTGTGAAAAAGTATTCAGGGATCGGTGAATATAAAACACGTACATCTCATACATAATAGAGAAGGCTATACAACATTGGTCAAAAAGGTTGTCCCACCCCCAGTTTCATGTGCTTTTCTTTATAAATGATCACATCACAGGAGTTAATTGCCATGAATGATGAATTTCATTTCAGATACCATAACTAACATGATAAGTGGTGCAGAAAACACAAACTAGCGGTGAAGATATCTATATTTAATACCATTTATTCACATTTATCACATGTACCCCCTCAAATCCGATGCACAATTTTCATTTCCACAGAGGTAAAGAAATGCCCATTAAATTGAAAAGACACCACCAAATGTCACCAAATTTACAGTAGGGTGTGCTCGTTAAAGGTCACGTGTTTTTGGCGTATGTGTTTACCGCGTATTCTAATTATCTCATGTGGACGGCGCTGCTGCCTTCAACACGGATAACAATTCTGTTTTGTGGGATATTGTCCCATGTTTCCTTAAAACCTTGAACCACCCCTAAAGTCCCCTCTTGCAGACGGAATAAGATATCAGTTGGTAATGTTAGGTTCAGTGACCACAGAACTACCAGAACTTGGTTAACCATCATTAGGAAAAAGTTGGTTTTGCTGAAAAATCAAGGTATTTCTCGTATGCCTTCGATGGTCAAATTAGGGCCCCTAAACAAGTTGCAGAATGCTTTTGGAAGGTGTGTGCAGGATATTGTCGCCTGAGGTGTCAGGTCAGTCCACGTTGTGTGTAAATTTGGTGGCATTCCAGCCCATGGTTTCAGTAAATTGTTCTTTCCGAAAAAGAACATTGTTGAGGCAATTCACTGAAACATTCTCAACAAGTACCTCACTCCATTTGTAAAAGGTGACATCAAGGATACTGCAGGCGTCATCGTGGAAATGCACTTGCACACAGTTCTCGTCTGCTGAGTGATTGTTGCAGAAACCCAATGTTCAGAGGATGGGCCAACAATCTTTGACCCCTGATATTAATCATTCTAAGCATCTGCGGCATGAAATAAAGTATGCAATGCGAAGGAGAACCAATCTCCTAATAATCTGAACCGACTCCCCCAATCTCTTTAGGAAGAATGGGACAATATCCCACAAAACAGAATTGTTATCCTTGTTGAAGGCAGGCCGCGCCGCCTACAGGAGATAATTACAGTATGCGGTAGACACACACGCTATTAGACACGTGACCTTTTACGAACACACCCTAATGCTAAATGTGTGTAAATTTGGTGACATTTGGTGGTGTCTTTTCAATTTAATGGACATTTCTTTGCCTCTGTCAAAATCACAGTGAAACGTCGGATTTAATGGGGTACATGTATTTAATGTGAATAAATGCTATTAAATATTGATATTTTTACCGCTAGTTTGTATTTTCTGTTCCATTAATCATGTTAGTAATGGTATCTGGAATGAAAATCACTACTTATAACAAATTTCACCTGTGAGGTGATCATTTATAAAGAAAAGCACATGATACTGGGGGTGGGACAACCTTTTTGACCAATGTTGTATAGCAGGTACATATTGAAAGGGGGTTTAAGAACCAAATCTTGGACTACGACGATATATACGATACAGCTTCACGTACACTGTCTTTCTGCGTTTGTGCTTCAGATACAGTTGTTGGCTTTCCATCCGTGCCTAATACTATGCTCTTGCACCCGTCTGACTTTTCCAATATAACGTTAACCTTAAAAAGAATGGTAATTTGAATTTCGGTTTGCGAGGAATTAACAGATATGCTTACATCTCTCAATATTTCAATTGATAACATTTTTAACCTCAGTGCACTGCTTCACCTTTCACTTTTTCCTTTATTTATTCATATGTTTTCTTGATATCTCTAACATCATTACTGGTCGTTAAAATCGAAATTTAGCACAGGGCACACTTGATTTAAACCAGTAATAAGGTGTATAGTTAAGATTTTTTACTTTTATTTTCACGTGATATATACGTGATTAATGAAACTAAACACGTTGTCTTACGTCCAAGTCAATGCCCATATCGTTCCAAATTGCCACTCGAAGGATCAACTTCTCTCCAAGCACGACCGAATCTGGCATGTACACTGCTACCAGGAACCTACGGAATGCCCCCAGCTACAATAAACCAATTATCATTCTTTCATTTATGAAGTAATGCATATCCTTTAGTGTGTATTTGATAAACATATCATATGATCTTGACACAACATATGCATATACGCATTTGCACATTTGGCACGAGTCAATGTATTGTTCAAAATAGTAATATACGCTACATATTTCATACTGTGTGGGTATCAAATATATTTTGCTGATATGAGCTACACGTAAAGCTCAAACCACATTAATGCATTTCGTAATCTTAAACCCATTCGGTTGCACCTCCGCTACTATATGCTAGCGAGAAAATTGCCCTGCTCGCAAAATTTATTAATTCTATCTTCATTTTCCTGTGATATAAATACTATTAATATTTCAATCACATTATTTGGTGAAGAAAAGCAATGTTTAGATCACCTCTGTCTTTGCCACTCCCAGACCGGTTTCTGGATGAACTGCAATCGCATTGACTGCCCATGACGAGGTGCCACCTGGCAGTATGACATTAAGTGAAGTCGTGCCTGTTGCACTGGGGAATTAACAAGATAAAATTAAGGAGTTAAGTCAATTCAAAGTCTCTCGTAATCGGCAAAAATTAACTTTGAGCAAGTCCAATTGTCCATGTGAAAATACATGAAGGCAAAGCACTGTGTTTCAGACTGCTCTATTACCCATATACATCCAACGTTTGGTATGAATTCGTGTATGGTTAATTTAATTTAGGGTCTAAGAAACCTTTTTTAAATGCAAATAGATATACGGTATTGCCAACTAATACCCTACCCTAATGTGACACTGGTCCAAAGCCAAGTTTCTTTAAAATATGACTGCATTGGCTCTATATCCGCCAAACTGCCAACGTCATTATTACTTTCTGCCTCCCCTAACAAAAAAAAACGATAAGATACATAGTTAGGCCATGGCAAGGTCTCGTTATATTTGGGGAACCACACGCAAATGCGTCGTCATAAAACCCACTGAAGGAGGCATAGTTATCTTACATTTTTATTAAGTGAATACATATTACAGAGGAACTGAACACACATTTCACAATAAACATTGTTCCCACCTTCCATTGTTCCCTTGCCATAACGGTACATTATCAATTTGCCCATCTTTGATTGAAATTTATTGACTAAATTGTTCGATTAAAACAATGTGTAATAACGTTGACTTCGACGTAGAACGCTGTTCTACGAATGGTTCTAATAAACGCACATTTTGAATGCTAAAACACATGATTGAGCTTTGCAACAGAACTTAAACCAAACAAATAAAATCGTTTGCGTTCGTCGTCCGTTTTATGTTCTCTATCGACCGTTTGAATAAACTATTTTTTTCACATTTCGAAAAGAAATGAATAAACTGCCCAACTTACATGCCGCTGTGTTTTTGTGACTGTAGATCATAGTATCGGTAAATGCAATAACACCAAAGTTCTGAAATTTTNAAATATCTAAAAAATCAAAAGGTTCTTCCTTACCTTTCATTTCCTTTGTTTGTCCCGTTGCCATCCTCTTTTCGGATAGAATACGTTCGTATCTGGATGTCTGTCTGGTGACTGGTCCCTCTCTATTCGACATTACTCATGTTGAAAGTCTCTTCCTCTTTTTGCATCCTCCACCATATGTGACGACGTTACTGACTTTGTCTTGGTGGCGCGAGGTAATAACTAAACAATTCCAAGTTTTCCCATATTCTTTATTATCGCTTCTAACTACGCTATCTACAGTTTATTCCTCTCCGTTCAACCTCTTACATCATTCTCTCCGTCTACATTACATTCTTCGCTTAAGTACAATAAGGTCGTGTCAATCAACTAAAGTGACACTACAAAACACTCCCCGCTCTTATTCGCTGCACGCTGTCACTTACTAACGTTACACCTTCATGGTTGTCCTATGTTCCATGTACCGATCCCGGTGTGGAGCGTGGGGTTTCCTGGGTTCGTTTCGCCGGTTGTTCCGGGTCGGGCACAAATAGCACGTTGTTGATATACAGTTTATCATAAACCATTACCGCTTTCTTTTGTTGTCTCTTTGCTGACTTATAAAAGGGATAGAGCATCTTTCTTTTCTCGTTAATTTCATGGGGGTATTGTTCATTTATCCCATATTTATTGTTTTCTATACCTTTGAGTGTCACCGCTCTTCTCTTAATGTTGTCTCTTACTTTAGAGCTGGCAAATTTAGCTATAATTGGTCGTGGTTTACCTGGTGTCTTTTTCTCCATTCTGTGTACTCTATGGAAAGCTGGCATGTGTTCCACCTTCATTTTATTTTCCAGAAAATCGACCAGTATGGTTTCTGTGTCTTCCTCGTCTGTTTCATCAATCCCCGTGAAAATAAGGTTATCGCGCATGCTTCGGGCCTGTAGGTCTACTTGTTTTTCCTTCAGTGTTACGATTTCGTTTTTCAAGTGTGTAAGTGTGCTGCCGGCAGGTGTAATTGGCAATTGATAATTAGTTCACCTTGAAGTAGGTCTAGGTGGTGAGATGGGCTATTCTGATAACAAATTTGACACCTTTTATTAGCTAACACTCGTGTTCAATCACCTTTTATCGCGTCATCTTGCCAGGAAAGGCATGCTCTGATCTAGGAAAGACAAAGTACACAAATAGAGTCCAAATGCATATTTATTCACACATCCAAGTCTTGTACAGAAAAAAAACTAGTACTACAAAGACAATAATAAATGAGATCAAATCATTTATGCCTGTATCAGCACATATAAAATGAAAAAAATCCACTGAGCATCATGTGAGAATTATAAAATTAATTTAAAAGCACAGTGTAAAAAAACATATTATCAAATGCATGGTTTCCATGTGAATGAAATATCTAATAAAACACTTAGCACCAAATAAATGTAGCTGCAAATGTTAACGGATATCAGAATATTTCAAGTCAAATTAAACTAAACCCACTAAGTTCTAGAAATAAATAAAGCACCATAAAATGTTAAACCATCTAATTTATTACATGCACAATATTACCGTATCACAAGCCATGCAAATAAAGACACATGGCACAAAGATGATGAAAATAGTATTCAATCAGTTCTATCAAGTAAACAAAAACACTTACAAATGCTTATAAAGAACAACATTTGTACAAAATCAAAAGTACAAAATCAGTTTAGACATCATAGAGTAAACATACACACAGTGTTGCAAAATAATTTTAGACATTTCTTTTTCCTTTCCTGTTTTTCGGAGAATCGGTTCTATCAGGATCATTGTACAGGAAATCTGCCATGTAGTGATAGCTGTAGAAACATGGGGCAGGACACATTCTAACTTTACATACACTGCAGGTGTAAAAAGTATCAACACGCTGAACATGGACTACACAAGCACTTCTCTTTTTATCTGGGGCAAGTGCGGGAGCATGGTTCATATTGCGATTACTACACACACATTCAGTAAGTGCAGCAAGTGTTTTTCTCTGCCCTGTCTCCGAAACATTATTACCCATTAATTCTTAAGACAACATTGTAATAAAATCTTTCATTTTAATGAGAGAACAGTTTCATTAGCTCTGTATGTATATATTCAAATTCCTGTTTTTCTTTTTATCAAGAGCTTGTAAAATATGTGGGTATCAAGGGCGTAACCAGACCTTTAAAAATTGTACGCACAGATTTTTAGAATTCCCAGCGGATTTTTGGACTAACGCAAGGGTTGAAGGACAGCGTAATCACAGCATATGTACCACACATCGCAGCTTAATTTACATTAATAATAAAAACATCATTTAGTCAGAAATATTCTCGCAATTAAAAGAGTTTCAATATACTTATTACCCAGAATGGTATATTTACTTAAAAGGAGGCTAGCTTCGCATACGTGGAACCCCCTTCGAATATTCCTGGATCCGCCTCTGAGTTGAACTACATGTAACTTACGATTTCATTCAACTTACATGTGGATGCATGGCTCCCCAAAACAACCAGTTGTACAACACGACAGAGCTCTGATACATCTAAGTTATATTATTTGTTTGTAAAAATTGCCCATGTCACCCTGTTAGTTTGGAGGGGTAAGCTGGGTCAAGTCCGTGTCAAAATTCTTTGACGATTTGCAGGAAAAATCCTTCCTTTGTTTCTCTAGCTCTTTATAAAAACCTAGTGCCCTCAGGGTTGCGGGAGCTGCTCTTTGAAAATAACACTCAGGTAGATTTTTACCTGAGATAAAAATCGCCAGCGAGGCTTCAGGAGAGCACCCTGAGCTTCAGAGCTAACTTGACACTAACCTTTTCACTGTAGCGTAGCCTATCTCCATCGTGTCAAGTAACCTCTGACGAAAATAGTTTGACCTAGTTTATATAAGCCAATCAAATCCATGTTTCAAAATTTTTCACCAAAGTTTGGTGAAAACGCTGATTGGTTGACCGTCAATCGGCAATCCTCGGCTGAACAAATGTGCCTTTACAATGGGGCTATACGCGGAGCCGTTTGTCCTAAAGAGGGCGCTGGGGTAATAGTGGTTATTGAAGTTAGCCTCGTTTTCGCGTCCGTGTAGAAATGGCTTTAGAGAATGGGAAGCAAACGGTGGCGAAGTTAAAACTTCCACTAGTTGAAAGAGGAGCCTCCACGAGAGGAAAGAAACAGGATCTGATAGAAAGGTTAGTGTATTTTCTTATAAATGTGTCAGTTGTATCACTAACATTAAAGGTTTCGCGCTCGAATCTATGGGTTTCTATGGGTTTCTGTGTGAGCTACCTGTCAAAAGCCAGGTGTAAGCGGCGGCTAGTTCCGCCACTTATATGCCTAATTTATTACTATATTTCAAGAAAATAATATTGTCATTGCATATTTCCATATCCCGAGAATATAATGAAGGTATTTATGTTTAAAATATGTTTATTGTAGGCACTCCTAGTCGATAAAGGACCGTTCGTTTCAGTAATCAAATTTCGTGTACCAGGTCCGACATTTAGGCCTAACACGACTTGTGTCAACGCAAATTTGTAAGGGAGAAACAAGGCCTGCTGCGTGTTTTATGTCAATGACAGTTGACATAACTAAGTGTAGATGAGGTAGACAATCTAAACGGTGTTTGCCAAGAATATTAGCATCGTTTTGTTAGCATCATTGTTTTTTTCACTCCCTCATAACCTTGCATTGATGTTGATGTTGGTAGGTCACAGAGAAGGAAGTGTCAGAGCTTGAAAACAGAACAAGAGGCCAAAGTAAAAGTTGAGTGTGGCATGAAGAAAGATCATGGAGAATAACAGCATCGAGGTAGGTGTGCAAATGAAAATAAGTTTGCTAATTTTTACTTGTTCTTATGTCTTGTCTCAATGTCATGTCATAGCTTGAGCTATTATGTACCTGTAGTTGCATTTTAGTACAGAAATACAAGCTGTGAGATGATAAATCATGGTTTGAAGGTCACAACTTAATGCTATGAATGTACAATTTCATTTTGCATTTGAAATACAAATTAAAAAGAACAGTAAAAAAAACAATCTCATTTATTTAATTTTATTTTTTAGGTTTGGTGATATTTTGAACGCAACCGAAAGACGAGACAAGGACAAATTATGCCAGTCACTCTTGTTTACCCATGAAATCAATACTCCATATTTCTTAAATTTTACAGGCATATAGTCGTCAACAATATCACGTTCTGGCTAAATGTTCATTTCACTGAGCTGGAAAAACAATGTTGATCCATGTGCTTTTTATTTCTGACACCGTTGTTATCGATAGCTTGAAACGGTCAAAATGCATATAAATGGTAAAACATAAATGGTGACAAACATTTGAAATTCAAACGGTGAGCTGCTGGTTCAAGGCAAAAACAACATGAAGTGTTCAAAATGACTAAATCCAGTAAGATACTGGACGGCGTTTGCATTTTGCTGGTACAGCATGGTGCTTTCTCTTGTGTCTGATGATGTAATGATATCACACTGGGAAGCTGTACTTTCTTTTTGGCTCTCACCAGGGCAGTCTTCATGTTTGTCTTCCACTGCTTCATATGCTCGAGACATCAACCTATAGGATACAGCAATAAATAAATACATAAGTTAATAAATTACACAAAGAAAAATACTTCATGTATTAATTAACAATGAAATCGGTGTAGGTGACAGAAATGACGCAGATCTGACTGCCTCTTGTCCCGTTTAGTCCGTCTCTAGTATTTTTAGTATTTACACAGATAATTATACGAATAAAAAGAAACGTTTTATTTATAAATCTGTTATTATATCATGCGTTTTCTTTCCCTCCATTCATATAATCAGGAGTTATTGAAGCAGCATTATCATATTCCTCGCTCGAGAATTATCTCGAGTTCGAGATATTATTATATATATAATATCATTATTAGATTGTACGCGTAGAGATAATTCTCGAGGAATATGATAATGCTGCTTCAATAACGTCCGCCATTTTATCACTGTGGATCATGTGACTTGGCCTAAATTTTCGTACAATGGGCGCCATCTGGCGTCAAATCGCGTTTTGATGCCTAGTTGCGTTTTGATGACTAGTTGCGTTTTGATGCCTAGTTGCGTTTTGATGACTAGTTGCGTTTTGACGACTAATCGTGTTTTCATTTCGACTGATCTGATAACGATGACGACTAATCGTGTTTTGAATTTTTGTATAAACCGCCGCCCATAGATGTATCCTCTACAAGGGCGACAGATTGATTTTTCGCAAGATATTCACAGATATGTCTTTAAATAAATAGGCGGTTCTCTGGTTTTAGAACTTTTTTCTATAATATCTGCCACCCTGGTAGAGAATAGATGGTATGCATATTCCTCCTTGGTATGAACTTGGTGAGATATCCCATCTATGGTCTTGTTACCAGAGTTTGAATGATTCCTTAAGATGGCGGTGGACCACATGTGCCACATGTGTTTTCCTTTAAAGATTGAGCTCATATATCGGCCGCTTACCTTTGTGTCAAATTAGTCAAAAGGGCAAAGGGATATGTTCTCGGCTAATTTATAGTGAGCCGGCTTACATCATATGAGTGGTTTTAGGAGACAAAATGCTCCTAAAGAAGCAATCGCACTCATTTTCATTCAGAGGGTTTATTGTATTATATTAATTCTTCAGATTTACACTGGTTAATACTAACGTTAGCAGTCCTGGGTAAGATGGGCATTTCCGCGTCTTTTACCATCATCTACGTGGTGACGGCCGAGGTTTATCCGACGGTAATAAGGTAAGGCGACCTTAACCAGCATATCCACATGTCCCTTTCTTTGAATGGTAGCTAGTGTTCAGAGTTACAGCGACGAATTTTCTAGTGCGATCTTCAGTAAAGATTTATCTTTAGTTTGTTTAATTTTTGTTAAACACATAGCAGGTACTTGAATTTTTCAGAACCATAGCTA